AAACAGAAAGCAGTCTCTTCTTTCCAATTACAACTTCACTTTGAAATCTGCAAACCCAAACTCAATCCTAAGCAACTCTGGCCAGGTGTAGCCAGGTTATCGCAGGAGTTGTACAGGTGTGAGGATAAAGGCTAAAATGGTTCCTTGCATGGAGGGGATATGAGATCTAGGCATTGTTATGGACACAGAAAATTCCTGGGATTAAAACGTTTTCTGGGTGAAGTTCACCCCAAACCAGACTTTCAGGCTAAGACTTACATCTCTCTGAAGCTGGAGCAGGGCTGAGATCAGCTTTTGTGCTGATCTCCGAAGAAGGGGAGAAGGCAATCAAGAAAGAGGGAACCACACAGCAAATGACACTGAAAAGGATGGATGAAAACACATCTCCTGATTTGGCTCCACTCCACAGCTATACAAAGGACTACATTGTCTGGCAGCATTTGTATTTTTTTAATGTTCAAAAATATGCATTTAGAATAATTTTGCTTGATAGCAAATACTGAGGAACACCTGTAAGCTCCCACATAGTGCCTTACTGGAGAAGCAGGTGTGACACTCCAAATCCTGCAGGATCACCTCTCTGTGCACCTCTGTGAACACAGAGTCAGTTAAGGTCATGATTTTGGGGAACACAATAATTCCTTTAGGTCCTTTAGAACTGAGGTTTGAACGTCAGTACTGTACTACCAAGCTGCTGACCTCACAGTGCAGCATTTTATTGATAAGGAACAGAAAACCTGTTTGGAAAGCTTAATGCTTCTGTTACTCTGTGTTTTTTCCACTCTAATTTTGCTTAGCAGTTAACTGAAATCCCCATATTGCTTTCCTCATTCAAACCAAAACCTCGCAGCACTAAGAAAACCACAGATACTGTAATAAGCCGTGACTCATCCAACATCACCCGAGTAGGAATTACACATTTTACTGTAAGGGTATCTAGGCCATCTCTACATCTAACATTTTATCGAGAATAAGGCCAAAGCATATCACTTTCAGTATAGTGGGGAAAAGGAAGTTTTTGTGGTTAAAGCAAAGGCCAATGAGTCAGATGATGTGGGCTCCGTTTCCAGGCCTCACGCAGACTTCCTATGTGACTTCAGCTGAATCTCTTCACTGCTCTGCTCCTCACTTTTCACATCTGTACGAGGGATGCCAGAATGTCACATCCATTCATCTTGGTTTCTCAAATTTTTTGAGACATCTGGGTGGGACATGCAAAGTGTTATGATAACTACCATGCATCTGTTTTTCTGCTGTGAACAGAACCATTATCTGCTTCCGGATGGAGAAGAAAATACAAAGGCCAGCCTCAGGCAAAAAAAAAAAAAAAAAAAAAAAAAAAAAAAAAAAAAAAAAAAAAAAAACCAAAGAAAAAAAAAAAAAAAAAAGAAAAAAAAAAAGAAGATTTATTATAGATGATTGGCTCATCTCTGATTTGACCAGCACAATCACAAGTAAAACAACTCAAAGGATGCAGAGCACAAAGATTTGGAGGAGTGAACACTGACAGACCTCTGAAATCCCTTGACCGTACTCTAGATTATTGCACTGTGCTGCATCAGATGCAGCAGCCTTTTTTTTCTTTTATTTATAATTCATAGGCATATAATTAAATCTTGCACATTCATTTTGAGAAAGCACAATAGCTAAACCACTAACCCTTAAGCAGAGTCTAGCAGTGGCATTTGGAGAGTCAGCCACACTCTCTCACCTATGCTGGCAAACACATTACTCTGGCTGTGAAGGAAACCACAATGTGGGAAGGAAAGCCTACAAAAGAATGAAAACAGAAAGTGTCTAAGGCCTTGGCAGAAGGACACTAAATAAAATAGAGAGTGGTGACTCATTTTGGCAGTGAATCCACCTCAACCCCTTCAAAGGCTTTGGCAAGAGTCCTCGGAGGAGACCCCAGGCTTTTGCCAAGCCACAAAACACCACAATTATTATCGCAGCAGTCATCAACAAAACAGATTTTGTAAACTGACTTGTTGGCACATAGATTAAAGAAGCTATAAAAAGGAATAACAGCTGTTTGGGTTGCCCTATGCAGAAAGTTACTATATAAAAAGTACTTTTACACATATCATATATACGTACACACAGACACACACAGATGCACATGATGTGTACATGAAGAATATACAAACAAGAAAAAGTGCCAAGAGCTGCTGAAGGATTTCACTGCTGTTCGTGGGAGATAAATTTGCAGGTCTGAAAAGTTATAAACTAAAGAACTGATCCTCTGCTCAGTCCTACCAGTGTCACAATATTCACTGCAGTGTTTCATTAGTTTCAATAGAGTTGTTGCCATTATACAGGAATATAACAACATCAGAATCTACAGATAATAATGGCTACTTAAAGCAAAGTACCACAGACCTAATTCCCTTCCTAAATCAAAAGAAAATTTACTGATGCGTAAATCAAAAGACAATCTTTACATGCAGGAGCCACTCTCATATGTGGGATAAAATGGACCAGAGATAATTTTTAGGATAAGCCACAAGTGTCCTAATGGCTCACAAATTTTTCACATTCAAAGGTTATATTCCGTTTTTAAACTAGGTATGTTTGAATATTTATGTAAATAAACAAATTGTCAACTTTTGTAATTGAAAATTAGGTTTGCAGCCGATTATGAAGTTTTGTCTACCTGGATCTCAAACACAAAGTCAAGAATGAACCCCTAAATTCAATTTTAGAAATGGTGATGCATATTATGCCAGTGTGCATGCTGTACCTAGGTTTAGTATCTCCTAAACACTGCACTTTTTTATTTAAAACAGTTTAAACATTATTCTTTTAATTCGCAGGTTTTTATTAAAGTGGCAGAGAGATGAAGTTGAGAACATGACACCAATATCCTGTTCCAATCTTTCTTTAAAAGTCTTCACTAAGATTTTAAACACTAAAGAGGGTTCACTTTGAGTTTCTACACCAATTTTTTTATTACTTCGATAAGCAAGACTTTTCTTGATTTTTTTTTCCCCTTGAATTTGAAGTGCTCTAAATTTTGGTCCTGTATAATGTCAAAATATCCTGAAAAATATTTTAGAGAATCTGGTATATAACTCAATAAATTAATCTGGCTCAATTAAACTCCATGTGCCCTGACCAGTATCCAATACTTTTTTCAGAGGCTGCGTGTCTTAATCTCATCTTTTCACCACAGAATCAAGAGTTCAAATTACATCATTAAAAATAATACCCTGGTCGAAGGAAGTATGATGGAAATATAGGCTGCCAGTGAAAGAGGGTGAATCTGAACTAAAGGGATGTTTATAACCTCTACGAAGACATAAAGGAATAAGTTATGGGAGAAATGTGGATATAAACAGCAAACATTGCTGCAAAAGACATCTGCATCCATATGAATTGCCTCAACCAAATGGATGAAGGCAAAGTAGATTTCAGGGTCCTGCCATTCCTGCAGGAGAAATGATGTGGCCCATCGATCCAGCACTTGTAGAGGATGTGCAATACCGGAGATGAAGCATTTGGATTTAGGTGTGGATCCTGTTGCTGATTTAATACCTCCCAAATGCTGTGTGGAGGGAAGCTGCCACATCACCTGGGATGATAATACTTGATTTTCCACTTTTGACTTAAACGGGAAAAATATACCAAGGTAATCTGAGAGTGAGACTATGAGAAAGGGAGTTTTTACTAATATAATCCACCTGAATGTAGGTATTTGCATTTAAAAAAAGCCTCTCTCTATCATTCTGTTCCTATAACTACAAATATTTTCCAGCTGCATAGAGGACCATTTAGTATTTTCAAAATTATTTGTCCTTAGGCAATCTGTTTAATTTCAAGTGCCATCCAAAAAGTAGCTGGGACTATATTTACTGCTTGTATGCTCAGGCAAGCATTTAGCACGGGATGGTCAGCATAAAAATACAAATCCATACATTTAAAGTTCTTAGCTTAAACGGTTTGACTTTTATTCTTATCCTTTGTTTTTTTCCTTTCTTTCAGGGCTACCTTGGACTACTTAATGCATTACACAGGCACCAAATGAGCTTGCACACCAGCAGAAGTAGTGAGTTTCACCTATCCAAGTATTTAAAAAGCTTGCAAGCACACACTTTCTCCTGTGCAGCCCGGAGATCCCTGTTGAGTCTATGCCAAGTCCCTGAAAAGTTGGACACTGCATCCGGTATTTACACTAAGCTAAAATTCTAATCAGCACTAACAGCAGTGTGTTTTAATTCACCCTTACGATTTTATTTCAATCTGCTAAGTAGCACAACTGCCAGAAAGAAACTGCTATAAACTCCAGTAAACAAATGCAGGGGGGGAAAAGAAATATATATATATATATATATATATATATATATATACACATATATAAAAAGATAATCCTAAACCTGTTGGAGATAAAGTTTGCACCACTTCAGACACACAGTTCAAAAGGAAAGTCTGGAGCTTTGGTCAAAGCTGCACTCTGCTGATTTCTTTCCAAATATCATACCTTCTGCACTGGGTTTGCATAACTTTTTTTCCCCCTCAACGTGTTTGGTACTTTTTAGCCAAGGAAGGAAAACGCTGATGTTATTTTACACCGGCTATTTCACCTCACGTCCTCCCCTCGGCAGCTTTCTGCCAAGTGCTGTGAAACAAGAACACAGTAACTACTTGAATCTCTGGATGACACTATAAATCGTAGTGCCAAGAGGCCGGTGCCAAGTCCGGCATCTTCCTTACTTTGGGAAGGAAAACAAAACACACACACACGAGCACAAAAAAAAAAGAAAAAAAAAAAAATCGGCAGCAGTAAAATGATGAGAGGTTGGTCACCATTTTGGACCTGTTCAGTGCAGTCAGACCTTGGCAGCCATCTTACAGCTTGGCAACCATTTTGAGAATGTGCCTGGCAAGCTCTCAGAGCTCGCCGACACTGTTTCAACACAGCGCTGGTTAAATATAGTCCAAATTAAACAATACCGTGTAATATCAGGTAAACTTGCCCTTCAGAAATCCACCCTGCAGGTGTTTATAAGTACATCTTTAAAGAGAGACGGACACTGCGCTTGCCATGGGGCTGCCTGGGCCCCTTAACCCTTTCCAGGGCGCGGTGCTGGCGAAGGAGGCACCCATGAGGGAGTCCTGGTGATGGGAACAGGGACCCCATGGATGTTGGGACACAGAAGACGTGTTGCCTTTCGTCACTGTTTAACGAGGCCCCAGGAACCCCACTGGGACCAAAGGCCCCTCCAAAGGAGGAAATGGGATGACAGAGGGACTGCACACAACCACATGTAAACCCGCAGCTGTCGTGTGAGAAAAAACTACTTTTGCAGCTTTAATTTCCTGACTAACTTTTCCATGTGCTTCTCTCCCAGGGACAAAAGGAAAAGTTTGAGGAGAAAAAAGTCATCCCAGCAGCCAGACATCTTTGGGAAGGCTGGTTTATTGAGAGAGCCCGATGGCAGGGTGAGCTGTAAACAAATACTTCCCTTCTTCTCTCCACCCTGCGAGATCAGTGTGTTTTTGGACCAAACGCCCTTCACTCTGACAGTGCCAAAATCCCAAGGAAGGCTTTGTGCCAGATGAAGAAAGGCATGGTTGTCAAAAACAGCTCTGGCCCAGAAGTGCCATGAAGAGCCAAGAGAAGCGCCTCAGTACCACTCGGGGCCAGGGGGTACAGCAAGGTATTCTGGCCATATTTCTCCCAGTATTTTAAACAATCCCTTTGCTGAAGAAGTTCATTTTTCATATTTAATGTAGTGTAAACACATTTAATAACTTGAGGAGGAATGCGGGGTGAGTGTTTTTACAGAACAAACAGTGCTATCTCCAAGACTGCCGCACTAAAGTTTAGTCTACATGAGGCTCTAACTCTGTCGGCCTATTTGAATAAAACTTAAAAAGATAATATATGGGTAAAACCCAACACTTGGAAAAGAGAGTGTGCAAAAAGGCAAATATTTGAAGGTACTAAACAGCATCCAAGTATTAAAATGACATTTTGGGGAAGTATTTAATATCTGAAGACAAATGTCTATTGGAAATGCTTACTACACATATTATATTCTGCTTCTTATCTTGAAATAATTTAGAGTGGAACAGAAAAGATCAAGTTTATGCTCTATTAGCATAAAGTTTAAACTATAAGGGGTTTTTGACCTTGAAGTCTGAATTAAATGATGTCTGGGATTTTTATTCTCCCTCCTTTTTTTTGCCCTTTTGAAATTTTAATCTGGGGGGGAAAAATTAAAAGCCAACTAATTAAGTATAATTTCATAGTGAATGAAATAAATTAATTAAACTATAATTGAAATGACAATATTAAATATGAAAATATTATGCTGGAGTAGATCAGAATAAAGTCTTGACACTGCTGGGTATCTTTTATATTGAAGGACAGTATCTGCAGCTGCATGACGTCAGCTGTGCAGGAATAGTTGGGAATGCATTGATAAATTGCTCCATCGATTCTGTTCTGCTTCACTTACCATAATTATAGCACAGTAATGGATGACATGAGTGATATATTTTTACTTTAGAGAAAAGCCAAGAGTTTGCCTGTTTCTTTATGAGATTAGACCAAATCCTTTCAATTAATACAGCATGATTGATATCTAAAAGTGTACTGGGGTAAGATACTCGCTTCATGTGAACATCGTTAAATATTATTGGTTAAATATTGAGATAGAATTCAAAGAGCAGTTTCAGTGCTTTAAATAACAGTGTCATTTTGGTAATATGAAAGATGTACCATCACAATTTTCAAAGACTTTTCTAGGTCCACTCTAAACATTTTGATTTTCTTATATCTAAAAATCACATTTGCAATTAATATCTATGTAAGGCAGGACAGCTTAAGCATTTTCCTAGGATTCTATGGACACTCTCACTGAAATCTTTGCCAAGGCTACCAACAGATATGTTGGGAGAAAGGCTGGGAGGATTGGACTGTGCTTTTCAAATATATATGGTCCAGGATTAGCTTTCAGCTGCTCTCCACTGAAGCCAATTGATGAAACTCATGTGTAGACCCAAGGACAGAACTTCCTCTAGTGCGAATAAAGACTGAGTAGAAGATGAAATAAAGAGTGATATCTTTTTGTTGCAGAGGAAGTGCTACATCCATCTACCCTTTCTCCAAATTTGCAGAAGAATTACATCAGCAGCCTTCTCCACCAATGACATGTTCTTCAGGAATTAAAGAACTGTCACTCAAGAAGCAAGGGGGCAAACAGGTTCTTGCAGAGATCTGACAAAAGATGAGAGCAGGTGAGGCAGATACACATCAAACCACTGTCACAAAAGACAAATCCATATCATAGGGATGCAAGATGACTCTTGTACCAATGCTTGTAAGACTCAATAAATGCAGAAAAGACCTGCACACTGCTCACAACTTAAACCTCCCTGTCACAACTCAAGCTTCCCTCATGGCTTCAGGTCCTTCATGTCAACAGAGAAAACTTTGGTTGTAGAATACCATTTGTGCAATATTCTTATTATCTTAGCAGTCCTGCTTATGGAAGTGCTAACAAAAGAACCCTGAATGGGAGCTTTTTAATCAATAAAAACTTTCCCCAGCCACTGTACCTTCATGCTGAGTAACTTCTACTTGGCAGTGAGCAAAGAAACCCAACGCTTATGGAGTTTTGAATAATGCCAAAAGTATCTTTGGGAAAAAAATTATGTTACCTCCATGTAGCCCTATCTCACACAGCATTTTTTCAGCATATAGTTAAGAAACCACCATAATAAATTTCTCTAAAAATTTTAACCTGTCCCCTCCCCCAGAGCAGTGAGCTTCTAAGATTGATCTGTACTTCTAACTGTTGAATTCATCCCTTTCTCATGTTACAAAGGCTGTCACTGGAAATAAAGTGTAACTTGGGATGGCAGTGGCAGCTATCAAACCTCCTGACACATTAGAGCGTCTGAAACCCAGACACCCAAGGTTTACATCAGAAAACTCCAGCATGTACTGAACAACTCAAAACCAACTATCGACCTTCCTATTGATTTCTAGTGGGGAAACCAAGACGGGAAAAGCACCAGAAGAGATAGGATTTCTTTTCCTCTCCTCATCGCTAACTTAGTGGCTGCCAAACTCAGGTCTTCTCAGGCTTAAGCCATCAGAGGTTTGTGTTGCAGCTAGCCAGGATGTCTGCCTAAGATAATTCAAGCTGAAAGCAGACAGTGTGCAGTGGGAGCTGATTAGCCACTGACTTCCAACGTGACCTGTCTCAGTCCCAAAAGAAGCTTCTTAACAGTAAGATATGGAAGCTATGGCACAGTTGAAAAAAAAATATATATGGTTATCATTTCAAATAGTATTTGAGGACACCTGACTTTATTAGTTGGACAGTTTAGAGGTGCTTTTTCAACTGGCAAATCCCAAACTCGTCCCTTAAAATATGTAATCATATCCTGCAAAAATAGGTTCAATAGAGATTATTTTCAAAACCCTATATATACATATATAAATATAATTAAGATGAAATAAACATTAAAAACAATTCACACTATGGAAAGAAGGTGTTAAAAAGGCCATATATCTTTCATCTCCTTTTCTTCATCAATGCAATCAGTCTGCTGCATGTTTCAGTAACTTTGCTGAAAGTATTCTAGATTTGCATCCATTTAGCTGATGACACTTTTGACCTTCCATGGAGACTGGGAAAATAATAACTATAGGTGTGATTTTGATGATTCATAATTTAAAAGAAAATATCTCATGTTTGCTGCAGATCATCTGTTCCACTCATTATATTCATCTCTTAGCTAGTATTTTCATCTTTAATTTGGATATTGCATGGCCACAGTTCAAAATGAAAGCTTGGTTCTGAATCCCATGGATTTTGCAGCTGAATCTCAGCCACAGGAACACCCTTTTCCAATTATAAAGTGTATGGTTAGGGTGTAAATCCTAGTGCATATTTTATACTGAAAGTCACAATGTTAGCAAAGCACTCAAGAAACCTCTGAAAATCTTCAGTAAAAACCTGATGCGTTTGTTGTGAAAAATCAGAAGTCTCTTCTGCCTTTAAAATTAGGACTTTGTTGCAATCTCAAGAGTTATACTATCATCTGTTATTTTTAATTTATTATGTTAATGGGCTGCAAGGTCCAAAATATCTGACATATCTGAACTCTTCTGTTGCTCCAGCATTTGTAAAGCTCCAGCATTTTTTACACAGCTCTGCAGGAACAGACCATAACGCCTGGAATGTTTTGATCTTAAGTTTTTAATAACTTTCTTTTTTTTTTTATATGCTACATATTTTACATGTTTTATTGCAAAATTCACTTTGCAGCTGTTTATCCACTTTAGAGGGTTCTGCTCATCTCCAGGTCCCTGAAGGACAAAAAGTGAGGTGCCAGCTCCCAGCAGCAGCTGTCCTGCTCCAAGCGGGTGCTGCCCAAGTGAGAGGCACCCCCATCTTCCTCCCCAGAGGAAGAGGAGGCAGAGCTTTGGGGCCATGGCCAGGACACCCGGGAAGCAGCTGCTCTCTGGGCAGCCCCACAGACACTTTACAGCTGCTTTCTTCACGGCATTCCCAAGAAAGTGATGTGACTCTCCCCAGGCGATGAGTCCACCTTCTGCAATACCAGGATCAAGTTGCACTGCACTGGAACAGCCAAGCTGAATCAAGTCCTCAGGACTCTCTTTTTCACAGCAAGCGGAAAAATACAAGCACATACATTCATAAAGCTGCACCAAACTATTATGTAAATGCTACATGTTGGAGTGGGTATTTTAGTTTTATGGTGGGACAGCAGGAATAAGCTTATAAATCTAAGGCCCGGGGTCAATGCTTAAGCAGAGATTACCTCTAAGCTTTACTTACACATTCTATTTTGGCCCAACAATTTGCAATGTATTTCTGGAAAAGAGAATAGTCCCAGCTCATTCCTGCTGGGACAGGCATGTGGTAAGATGCATCTTCCTGAGTTGTCTGGGGTGGCACTTAAGAAGGGCTGGCAAATTCCTGTCGGAGCAGTAAAGACGGATCTGACTTGAGCTGTGGTGGGGATAAAGTAAATCTGCTCGGCTTCAGGCCGGCACTTTTTCTGGCTTGTGACACCGGCTTTCCTGCAGCCTCCCTGCTATCGTACAGCTCGTCATGACCCTCACCCTGACAGCTTCGCCTCCAGCCAAGATCTGTGGCAGCTCCTTCCAAAACAAATCAAGACAAAGTTGCTCTGGAGCAATGTTTTTCCTGAACTGAGCGTGGAGCGACTCTGCTTCCACCCACGTAGTAACCCATCCACATGCCCAGCAGACTGTGACCAAAGCACACAAAAATGCCAGTTGCCAAAAGGGAGTCCAAAAGCTTAGATCAAGAGAGAAAAATTGTGCAGGAATTACAAAGAAGTCTCAAGACAACTGGCAAACTACATCTGCACACCCCCCTTTCTTGAGGACATGAGTTACAAATGTTGCTGTCTGAAATAGGGCCTTGTACGCTTCCACTGGCATCACCAAGCTCACAAAATAAGGCTGTAAAATAAGAATAACCTTTTAACAACACAATGTTACTTGAGGAATGAGACTCTCCCTACACAGAAGGTATCAGAAGGGATCATCAAAACATTACGATAGATACTAAAATGGAATTCCTGTTAAGATGTTAACTTACATTTATACATAAAGCAGCCTATTTAAAGCATGCTTGTTAAAATTCACAGTTATTTCACTGACAGGCATTCAGAGAGCATCGTAATGAAGTTACATGGTAAAAAGGCAACTATTTTAAATAATTCTAAATGCATTATTTACTAGAAGTTAACAGTAGAGATTGAGAAGCAGCTCATGTGGATTGCTGGATTTTGTGCTCTAGTGGTAAAGAAGGATATGACAGCATGTTTGGGCAGAGGAATAGGAATGTTTGAGGTCTCCAGCTGCAGAGTTTCAGGGTTGAGTTAGTGAGCACAGGCCGGAGATTACCCTAACTTGGTTAACCCAAAAACCCGCCGGAGGGAGATTGCCATCCTGCCTGGCAGGGCTCACTGGGACGCACTCTCTTGAGTCTCTCAGGAAAAAGAAACAGCTCCCAGTGATAAGCATTATGCAAAACCCCGTTTTTAGCACTTCAGAAGTAGGATTTCTGACTCTGCAAACTCCAGACCATTTCCCGGAAGGAAAGACAGTAAAAAGCCTATATTTGGAAACCATTCCTCCGCATACCCCGTAAAAAGAAGGGTGGAGGCAGCCATAAAAAGGAGGGTTGATACATTTATCTGCTCTCTTTTTTCCTCCTTGGACTGAGAGGCACATGAGAGAAAAGGGAGCGGGATCAAGTCCAAAGAACTATCCTCTTTAAGGATACACTACGTGGTATCATCAGTGAGTCTCAGCCAATATTGGCTAACAGTCGCTGTCTGTTTGCCAAGCAGAAGTTTGCCATGTTAAACTGTCACTATAATGCCACCTTGAAGAGGCGTTATCATCACTCTTGCGATGATACACGGCAACCGTGAACGGAAACTGAGGCCGGAGCTCACACATCTGAACAACAGACGATCCTGGTGCCATGGATAAGTAACCCAACAGACAGCCCTGCCTGCTTATCACTGCCACGAACCAGGAGCTCCCTTTGAATGGACACTGCAGTAAAAATTGTACCAGTTTATGACTTTAAAATATGGCAATTACTGAATTTTATTAGCAATACTGAGAGTACAGAAACCCATTCTACTATTTCTCTAAACTTACTTTTTCCCTGCTCTGAGTAGTGTATAGAAGCACAATAGGAAGCCACAAAATCTCTTGTGCATCTCATGGAATTGATACTGACATAAAACATTGACAGAAACTCATTCCGAAGGCCTCTTGCCTTAGGATCTTCACAGGTAAAGGACAGGGAGACAGCCAGCACAGGGGCCACAAAGCAGGGGCTCAATTTCCCCTTTAACTTGACTCGCCTTGGTATTGAATTAGGCATATAAAACCTGGGGAGAGGGGAGCATGACACCACACAGAAGTGCTATATGCTGCTGCAGGCACGGCTCACCATATGGGAAAGCACTTACAACAACATAGCTGCACAGTGCAGCCAGCGCTGCTGCACACACTCCTCGTTAACATGGCAAAGTTATAACATGAACTTACAGAATGCAGAACCTGAAATTTGATTAGATACGGGGTGGGAACTTTTTTTATCTTTATTTAATAACAACTGTATAATATTGACCTTAGTAATTACAGTCTGAGAAAGCGAACTTCGCATTAACGGCACCGTATTGATTTTGCAAAAGTACAAAAGTACTTTTATGCCTTAGAAAGGTTCCAGTTACCACATTTGAATGACCTCGGGAGAACAGTGTCTTGGAGAACTGTATTCTTCATTCAGTAGTGCTCCTAAGTGTACCCCTAACTGCTGTACTCACAAGACCTAATATTTAACAACCTGATAAAGCCTCCTCTGTCATGCCCTCAGCTCCCTTTGACTCAATACTTTGCAGAGTTGGAGTCAACTCTAATGGGCCAAATGCAATTTCACTTATTAAAACAATTTATTCAATATGCAGTACATCAGTGAATTAATATATTATTCACCAATATGTTCTGAACTATTTAGCCAGCTGTATGAAATGTTTCTAATACACTAGCTGACATTTTTTTAATTACACAAATACTTTGGGTAGCAAATAACTGTTCGCTATTTGGCAAGCCCTACAAATTATATACGGTTAATTATATTCAGGTTGGTATATGGGTTATAAATAACTGTGATAAAACTGATATCAATGCTGACAGAATTTTAGTGGAAATTGACATTTTTCTGTACTGAAGTAACTGAGAGCTAGGAGCAGAAATACTGCCTCCAGAAACACAACTGTAAATTAATAAATTGTGCATGTGCACAAAGTGACTTATTATTTTAACACACTACGTGTTTTTGCTCCTCCATTTTTATTAATTTCATGCTTTGCCATAATTTATGTTCTGTTTGAGAATTGTTTTTCTCTCCTCTTTTTTGGAGTGTTGTTCAAGTTACTGACTTTAAAAGTTTTTCACAGGTAGATCCTCCAAAGACTTATGCTTGCCTGCGAATCCCAAACTTTAACTACCAGCTCTCAAACATGCAAATCCGTGTGAGCAGTCACATACTGCTAACTGGAGCCCAAGTATTAATCCAAGCCCTGGCACTGCTGGAGAACTTATGCACCCAAAACAGTCTGGGCTGTGACAGGGCTGTCCTCAACACCCTGCAGTCATTCACATTCATTTAAAGGTTATCAGTTTTATAACAAATTAAAATTTAAAGACAAAATTCTAAGAAGCTGTGGAGCTTGTGTTGTTTTCCATTACAGTCCTTAGCCACCCTGTGGAGTCAACCCTGGTTTGCCTCAGTGTAACCACAGCAAAATTTGTTTCAGGCTCTGCCTTCTGCAGAGACAAACCCTACCATCTGCTTGGGGTTCAGCTACCCAGCTTCCTTTCCTGAGATTCCCTGAAGTAGCAACCTGAATATCACACCTGTTTATCACGACAACTCCCTTTAACAGATCCTTCTGTTTCCCTGTCCTGACTATTATATCTGTTAGCATCCTGCAGCAGGCATGGGGAACATGACCCCTTCCTGCACACGAGGGAAGAGGCTGAAATTTTTTAAGCCATGGTGATGTAGCCTGTCACCAGGTGTGGATTAGTTGTTCCAAGTCAGTGCATGTCACAGTGCTTTAAGGATGTGTGGAGGCACGAAGAAATCCAACACAACAACATAGATTCTCAACTTACCACATCCTCATCTCAAACTGTCATGCCTGGAGGGACCATTTCCCATGTTATGGTATGTAGTAAAATACAAAAACAACAACAAAAAAACCCCAATAGAACAAAACAAGACAAAAAATCTAAAGGGAAATGGATACCTTTTGCGAAAGAACTATTACTAAATGGAAAGTCAGCAGGGGGGTGGGGGGAGCAGGGGCAATGGGAGGAAAGAAAAGAGAAAAAAGAGCAGATTCTTCAGTAGGGGAAGTTTCTCCTGTTAATTGGCAGTGAATCAGTTACTAAATGACATGCCTAAAATCAGGTGGTGGATTATTGGAAATTAAATCTTTGTCCCAGGAAAGCCAACGGCAAAAATCCTATTGATTTCAATGGGAGAGGGTTGTCTCTCTGGACTTAACAGTCAATCATGCAGAATTGGCAACAGCATCTGAACATCCCTGTTTGTTATTAGACCACGGAAATCCATTTTAGTTTGCTTCATCTGCACTTGTGACCAGTGCACCAGCACTTTTTTTTTTTGGCATGGAGGTGCAAATAAGCAGAGTGGGTTCAATTTTTCAACCCAAGACACATGAATTAGAGCTTTGCTCTTTCTCCCAAGCATTTCAGAGACCATTTTCCCCCTGAAAGGCATGGGCAGCCTCACCGCTAATGGGAGTGCTGTGTTTACAAGCAGAGGGGAACTAAGCCCTTAGTGTTTTTGCATATTTGCAATACATTATGTGGTTGGGATGGGAGGAAGGTTTGTTGGAAGAGAAGGTGAGAAATACAGGAAGAAAAAAAATACCTGGTCCTCAGAGGCTGGAATAACTGTGGAGTATACACAGTCCTCCTTTTTCTCAGTCCTTTTTCTCAGAATGGTTTTGTTGAGAAACAATCAAACTAAACTGCGGATACTTAACATTATAAATATAACACCGTAGTATAATGCTCCCATTTAACAACTTTCCACGAACAACCCTTCAAAATTTAAGTGCTTGGAAATTCTTGGATGACAAAGCTGCTATTTACAACTAATCTTTTTATCTGAAGGCAAAACTGGGTCCAAATAAATAAAGAGACAACAAGAGAGTAACAATGTAGAAAGAATGTGGGTGTG